AACCAAGCCAGCACATGTGTATGGAAAAGGGCTACAACACCACTAATCCTTGTGTTTGCAATGTTGCAAACTGAGTTGAATGAAGCATTTATGAGCAGTTAAGAAAAGTGGCACTAAATAACAGTACTGAGGCCAGCAATTTATGAGCTGTTCAGCTTCATTTCTTCTTAGCTGCATAAAGATAAGGCAAACATTACGGTCACTAAAGGAATCAGAAGTCAGGAGTTGGTAGAGACCAAAAAAGAGCTACAAGAATAATTATTACTTACATGGACTCAAAATCAATGCAAGTGTTGCTATGTATATGAAGGATGTTTAAATATCCAACTGTTAAGATCCAACCTTATTGAATGCTCTGGGAAAATCCTGTAATAATATTATGTAATATCACCATCCTACTCATAATCTAATTAAAAAGCATCTTCTCAGATATTAATAGTAGTATTCAGTATTCCATTTAGTAGACTACACATGTATCCTCTCTGTCAAATCAGCCACCCAAGAAGTTGGAGAAAGATCCATCGTCAAACCACAAGATCCCAAATCCTCCTCATGACCTGAGAACTGAGGTCAACACTCTTTGCAACTAGCAAGCATCCAATTACTGTTTTCTTCCTGTGACAAGACTTCCACTACCCGTCCTCCTCATAGCACAGAGCTGCAGAGCATGGGTCGACCTGTCTGTCCCACTTAACTGGAATGGCATGTGGGCTGCGCAACAGGGCCGAGTGAGTCAGGGCTGGACGCCGTCCCTCGCTGACCGTCGCTCCCGGCGGTGCTATCTTTTCAAGTTTCGCCTCTTCCTGTGTCTCTTTAGCGGCTTGTCAGTCGGATGAAAGGTATTTCCTCTGAGTCACCGCTCTGTTCTCTTTTGTCAACCCAGAACCACGCAGGCATTAAAGACCTCCGGTACACAATGCTGTTGCCTGCTCCCCTGGAGGCTGTCCAGCCAACAGGCCTTTTTCTATAATTGGACTTTTTCAGAAGAAATGCACTTTGCTCTGTATTATGCTTACAGTATGTTGGCCTAGTTTGGCGACATCATTTCCAGAGGGTCCTGGGTTTTTTTGTTGTTTTTTTTTTCAGTTGGTGTGGATCAAGTCATAGTTACAAGCTGTGAGAGACACACATATCCAGAATATTCTGTTTTATCTTGTCCCATTTCTGACAGCAAAGTTAAAGTAGAGCATGTAGTTTTGCACATAAGTGGCCCACGATTTTGTTGGTATAGCTACAATATTCAAACATAGTGACCTTGTTTTTGGGCTGAGACATAAAGGAAGGCTTCATCTATCTTACTTCGGTCTAAACTATCCTGTGAGGACAGCTGCGGGCCAGAAAGTCACATTGATCCCACACACATATGGTGAGCAGCAATCCCTAGTCAACTGTTCACTCTTAAAGGAAAATTCACCCTCATATACTCTTGCACACAATAAATCATTATTTAATACTCACTACATTCCGAGAAATATTTTGTGATTAAGTGTTGCACTTTAGTTTGCCTTTATTTTGAAGCCACTTTCCATCAACCTGCCTCGTAAACTTCTACTTCAGTTTGCGGATTGCTACAGTTTCAAGAAAGCCTGTTGACAGAAACCAGAGGACGAGGTTGTACTTGTTGCTTTCTGTCCAGATTAGAGAGAGTATAAGCAGCAGCAGACGGAATAGCCAGTTGAAAGGTGGCGCAAGTTCAAATTAATTTATAGCTCTTTGTCACAGGCGAGTCAGAGGACTCCACAAGGAACTAAACATGTAACCAATCAACAATCAATCACAGAACTAGATGAAGTGAAATAGTGTCTAACACAATTTACAATTATATGTAGCTCCACTGGCTTGTGGCCTATTTTCTCCTCTTGTGAATGTACAAATTGGTCTGTCATGATGGATTTCCCCTCTAGGATAGTTGAGCATTGATGAAAAAAGGCAACTCGAGACAGAAGACAGAAGTTTTAAACTTTTTTATATGATCAGCTATTACACGACACTACCAGACTATAGCTACTGGACATCTGGACAGGATTTTGCCAGTGAACCTATATAGTAAACAAAATCTGAAAATTGATTCAACTCCAATGTCGATATGGTAAATATGAAGCTAGCAGCTACCAGTGGCTGGTTAGTTTAGAAACAGTAACAGTGATGACAAGGAAATCACTGGGTATCCACCACTTAATCTCAGGTAATACCATAATGCTTCCTCTTCACACTTTGTACAGATTGGACTCTAGTGACTGCAAACAATGCTCCCATCCTCCCAGTGAAGCTGCAGGGTTCACACACACTTCAACTCAAAACCAGGGGATTCCTAAGCTCACTCATGGCTAATGTACATAACAGAACCCCAGCCTCTGCAGCAAGCTAGCACGTTGCTGCCGGATCGGTCCCTCCACTGAACACACCGATATCAGCCCTCCATCAAACTCCTGCTTGAACAGCAAACAAACTAAGGCCCAAAGTATCAAAGCTACGGACCACTAATGGGTTTAGTAACTGTAATGTAACTTTGCACTTAAATCCTTTACGAGACTGAAAAGAGTAATCACATTACTAGGTAATGTGTTACTGCCCAATATTGGTAAGTAGAGCGCTTTAGAGGTTCTGGCAGTTGTATTTTGTTACCTTTGGTCATAGCTAGGCTAGACCTACTTTTCAGTCTTTATGCTAAGCTAAGATAACCAGCTACTGGCTGTGGCCTCATAGTTAACACACAGACTTGAACGTTCTGTTGATCCTCTCATCTAACTCTGCAATAAATTGAATGAGTGTATTTCTCAGAATATCAGAATCTTCCTTACTTTCAATATTCATGAGCGTTGAAGGGTACTAAAGGTATTGATGCAATAACATAATCCCATATAAGGCCTGTTTCCTTTTTTTTAGCCTGACTTAAGTTGTTATCTTTGGAGTTAGGAATGCAGGACTGTTTTACCTCTTTATGTATGAGTAAAGTCATATGCGCTGCTACTATTGCCTAAAGTGAATCACTCCTTTCCCCAGCCTCCCTGTAACTTCCTGCAAGTCTGAAATCTTTCTGTTTTCATCGCCTCATTTGGGCATACAATTGTCCATGCTCCTGTCACGTATGCCAGTCCAGTGTCTAACTAAGGAATGTCCCAAATCTGTTGGTTCAGACATCAGGTTGGAGGCTGAAATAATACCTGACCGGGCATTATCAATCGTTAACGACACAAGCAGCTGGTTTCCTCTAATGTGTGTTGGAGCCATCCAACCTGCGCTAGATGAGACCGTACCTCTGATAAAACATGATGATGTTGAATTTCCACAGATAATAAATGTCCCATTGTTCCCATCTGCAGGACTGAAACCATAAATATGTTGATGTACTGTACCTGAACACACCACTGAACAAACTCAGGTTTATTTTCTGTGTAATAGTGAAAGTAGTGTATAATGACTTCTTGGTGTGAGTCTGAGTCATGGGTGGAGGGTGAATGGAACTAGTCAAGACAGTTCCTGTAGTTTAGTCTGGCTGAAACAATATATCCAGTTTGTTCTTAATTGTTGTCTGTAAAGCAAAGACAAAATAGTCTCATTAAGTTTCCAATACTTGACTTCAGTCAACTTTTCCAACTGTTATATTGAAATTAAAGTCATTTTTAAGACAGAAATTTGAAGCACAAGCTTATCAGTGCAAAGTACAAAATAAAGTCTATATCTAGCCATGTAGGTTCTTTAAACTGAGATAACTGTTAATGAAGGCACATTCAGGGTCAGAGTTCCCCGACCTGATTATTTCTGGCTCGGTTATATAACTGTGAGTAGCGTCAACCCTTAACATAGCTCCCTCAGTCTCTGTAGATAAGCCTCTGCAGCGATAAGGCAGCTCCTCTCAGGTCCATGAATGCAGTCAGGAAGGAGAGAAAAGAGGGTTTAATTGGCTAATTTGACTGATCGTGCCCTGCAAGTAACTTGACTGAATCCAATTCTGAATAAAATCGGACTAAATGAGGCTGCGAGTGCTGCCTTCAAGGCCACGTCGGCAGCCACAGGTTGAGCTGAAATGTCAAGAAATGTAAAAGAATACTGAAGCTTTTGTTTGCCTTCACAGCTTCTTATTGTTTAGAGATAAACAGTCATCTGGTTGCCTCTGATTGCTGCCGCACACTGAGGGAATCTGGCTGCACCCTGTATTCAATATACTGTAAGTATTACTAATTAAGTGGGCGTCAGGGGGTGGGCAGGATGACTAAGTGAGACTGAGCAAAAAGAAAATGCTTTTAACAGAATAAAAGAATAAAGCAGCCTCTTGTATTATTTTGTTTAGAGCTAGAAGGGAAAAAAATGTCTTTCTATGGTTCAAAATATATTAGAGAGGACATGATTGGGCAATTAGTTGACCAGAAAATTAATCAGCCAAAAATCTGATAATAAATTATTCTTTTAAAATACTCATTGAACAAAATCTTCTTATGGACAGTCTGGTGCTGATGTGATTGGTATATTGTCTATCTATTGGAGGAACATCTCAATTTTACACACATTTCTAGCCAATTATATGTAATTGTGTAAACTATATTTATACTATCAGTTTATTTTCAATTTGACTATCCATCCACGTATTGTAAAGTGTATGTAACTTATATTACATGATTTTATATTGTATGTTATTTATACTACAGCATAAATAACTAATTTGTACTTCCTGAGTACTAAGTAGGCTGAGTACCAAATGTGAAGGAGTTTTTTATGTAAGCTGCAGCCTCATTTCTGGGCATTAAAATAAGAGCAGGCACAGTGAAGTCCAACATGTTTCCGCCAATCTTCCACTTTTTTTCTGTGCACCTTTGAAACATCCTCTATCTTTAGCCCTTTTTTTCAGTTTGGGAAAATAAGACGAAAGTTCCAGTATGTCATCGCTGTGTGTGATTCCTAATGGCATCACCGAGCGGCCGCTGATTGGCCGCCCCGCCCGCGAGCTGCAGAGGTGAGGAGGGGCGTGAACGTCTCTCCGGCGCTATATGTACGGCTGTCCGCCTCTCCGGGATCAGGGGGGAAAACGCTCAAGCGAGGCGAGAAGCACCAGCGACTGCAGAGCAGGATCAGAAGACTTGGACATTACACGCAGCCCACAGGCAGCCGGTGCGCGGTGAACGGAGCGGGATCCAACGGACTCAATACACTTTATTCCAGCAGCAGAGAGGAGTGGGAAGAAAACCAAAAAGTTTGTTGAAATGCAGTCAGTGTACCAGCACCTGATCAGCCTGCTGTTTGTCTTCAGCAGCCTGCAGGTTAACCAGCTGACGGAGGGCTGCTCGTGCGCTCTGACGCACCCGCAAGACGCCTTCTGCAACTCCGACATAGGTGAGTAACGGGAGGCACAGACCCTCTTTACTGCTGTAAATGAACAGGGTGTCGGGATAGAAGTGCAGCCTGTCAGTCAGCACAGGAGAGAGGAGTGATCTGCAGTCACTGTGCTGTGCGCACGGCGTTGAGTGAAGCTTGTTTTCAGCTAGATCTCTGTACTGAGTCTAAAGGAAGTTGAAATGGAGCTCTGTGGGGATGACTTTAAACCTTCACTCAAATGTTTACACCAGAACTACAACTTCTGCTGCTGTTCTAATGTATTATGGCTTTCTCCAGCATGAGTCAGGTGTCTTTTTTTCTTTTTTCTTTTTTACTATTTAATAGAACTCTGTAATATTACAAACTTCTGTACTTTGTTTGGTCAGTGAATGTCACAGTGATGCTTCTTAAAGTGATTTACCAAGTTCCCTGACTTTTGATCTCCAAATGACCCAAACCGAATAAGTTTTGATTTTATCGTCTATTTTCTTTATATTTTCAAGCTACAGAGAGGTTTTATGTGGCTCAGAGGTGAAGTATGATCCACGGTCAGCTTGGAAGTTTGAATTTGTGCTTATTTATCTGCAGACTCTGGTATTTCTCTGTCAGACAGCCACCTGGCCTCAGGGTCACAAACATTGGACCCGAAGCGGGTTTGTAGCTTGTTTTACTGCCTGGTTATGCTTTCTATGACTCCCCAGAATAATATAAATTTAAGATCTGGCTTAGCCTGGAACGCCAGTCCAACCTGGCCTCTGTTTTTCGATAACACTCATAAAGACTCTGGGATTATCTGATCTGCTCCTGTGGGGAGAGAAGGTGTTGTTGGGTCCAGAGTTGCAGGGGGTTTTGGGGTGAGGGTGTTTCAGATGGCACAGGAGGGCATCTGATTTTTTTGTGGGGAAGGAGCTGTGTGTAGATAACCTGTCACTTCAAGCCACACACACACATACATACAGCCACATTTGCAGAGATAGAAGCTGATAGTCATTTTGAGGGCAGCTGATATTTTGCTTCAATATCATTTGAGCCAAAAACCATCATGAGGTTCTCTAAAATCCTGACACATAATAGAACAATAATCTCTCAGTCTAAACCGAGCACACACACAAACACACACATACACACACTGCAGCTATGTGTGCAGCCCATGTGTTTACCCTATCGCCTAGTGTCGACTAAGACGTTACAAGGGAAGTCCTAGTTTCTGCAGCAACGCCCCTCTACACACCCATACGCACTCAGATGTCACTTTTAATGATGTTGCACTTACTACTGCTCACCAGTAGAGGCTGAAAAATGTCTTATTGATGCTCAAACGTCACAGTGACTTTTTTCATGTTAAAAACATCTACAAAGTCACGATAAGAAATATATCTTTTGCAATTTTATGCCCCATTTTGACCCTTTATCCTTACAGGCAGCACTGTATCCTTTAAAAAGGAGTAGTTTGACATGTTTGGTATTCGCGAGAAAGATCGAAAGTTGATACACTCTCATGTCTTTAAGTTAAATATGAAGCTAGAGCTAAACTAGATTAAGATAATCTAGCTTTTACACTTTGTGCAAATTAAACAAACAAGATGTAGCATGTTAATTAGTGAGTTTTGGAGTTATTGGTAGGTGGATGTTGTTACCTTTGTACTACCACACAATATAAGATTTTCACTACGCAAATATAGTGGCCAAAATAATTCTATTATTGCAATATCTATAGAAAATTAAGGGGAAAAAACAATATCCGTCAAATTCATTTTTTAGCTATCACAGTTAACTTTAATATCGGTATGACAACACCCCTACTTTGGACAGAGCCAGGCTACTGGTTTCCCCCCGTTTCCAGTCTTTATGCTAAGCTAAGCTAACCAGGTGCTGGCTGTAGTTTCAGTGTCAACATACAGTAAATCTTCTCATCTGCTCTTGCCAAGAAACAAATAAGTGTTTTTCCCGAACTATTGTATTACTCCTTACATTGTGAACTCATATTATATAAATTTGTGAAACCATTAACCATCAATTCAGCTTATACTCTCGATCACTCCTCCCATGAGCCTCTCTCCTCTTTTCTTCTGTTGGTTTCCACTTCTGAATGACCTCATCACAACAAGAAATACTTCATATTAAGGACGTAATGTGCTGTTTCATCAACAATACATCATCACTGCGTCACAAGGCTCCCCTTTCAAAAAGGCTCCTCCAAATGCAGCCAAGAAATGGCTTCTTCGTCCAAATTTGCAGGACACAACCGTTTTTTTTTTTTTTTTAGGCATAAGTCAAACACTTCTTTTAGTTCTGATGTGGGTGGGAGCTCACGATGATGCCTTAGTGAATCCTCTGTAGGTTTAGCCTACTAGCCTTCTGAGGACTTCACATTTATAAGAGGGCGACTGTGAAATAGGGCACAGATACTGGAAGGTAAAGACCCAAAATGGTCTCTCTGTGTCTCTTGCTGTTTGGTAACCTGCGGGAGCGTCTACAGCCAAATGACCTGGTTGGAGTGGGTGAAAACACTCATGCGATGCCTATCGCAGTCCTTCAGATCTTCAGATAGCTCATGGTGTTGGCACCTGCTGAGACTTGCCAGTGTAGAATGTGGGGTTGACTTCAATGGGCGCCGTGATCAGTTGTGAGCCCCACAAATCCCATTTCCAAGGTCCCGGCTTAGCTCGAGGTGTGCTTTGAATGCGCACGATCCCTCTTATACCTTCGATCCTCTGTGGGAAACAGTTCTAAAACACCGGCTGGATGCAGAGCACAAAGGTCACAGCTAGTATGTTCAGTCAAAGTCCAGACTTTCAAGATGCCTTAGCTTCTATTGTCATTTTTTGCATGTATGACTTAAAATACAGTTATTAAATAACACAATGTGATCCTCCAGTCCTGGTTCATTCTTTCATTAACGTCTTTTTCTTTCACCTTTAACTAAAATCTGCACTTCTGCTTGTGTCACCAAGCCAAGTTAAAACAAGGAGACGTGGAAAACAAAAAAGTATGGGGTTGAAATGCTAATGCAGCGAGGGAGAAACCCTGTAATTCTCACCGTCGACATCAAAGGCGACAGGCCTGAATCTTCCCAATTTAAGACCCGTAGTTGAGTTCAAAGCGTTTTTGCTCTTGTTTTCTTGGCCCTGACCCATAATCACCCGCAGGCACTCCACTGAATGAATCACAATGAGGTTAAAGGGTTGGAAATTAGGTTATTGGAGGCTGTCTCACTCTATTTGACAAATTTAAATCAAATATTTTCGAGCATGAAGGTGTTCTTAGAACAAACGGCTGTAGTGTCTGGCGTTGCTTTCATTTTGATGGTGCTATGTTAGAGAGACCTGGAATGCATTTGAGTTAATCTTAAGTACTTGGCTGATTAAAAAGTCATTTTTGTGGTTTGTATTCGGAGAACTACATGCGGAAAATCTTCCACAGTGCTTTTGGCCACCTCAACTCTGTTCTGATGAGATTGGAGACATCCTGTCAGTTTCCCCCGCTAACATACCTGGGCACCAGGCAATGACCTAGCTGCTTTCTTGTGCAGAGACCTAGTTGGCTGCTGCTATTAGGCAGCTGGGTTAAAGCAGCCCATTCACAAGGGGAAATGAGCAGCGTTTGTTTTTCCAAAGCCGTACGAAAGCAAGATTAGAGGCCGGGCAGTAAACTTTGACCCTGAGATTTAATATCGCTCTGTAACGACGAGTTCCCGAGCGCTCGGGGTGACAGGAGCAAACCTTTACATGCTTGCACCATGAACCAGGTCAGTTGCTGAGGATTAGCGTGATGTGTGTGTATGCTCGGTTTGGGATTGGGGATCAGGCCATTGGGAGAAATGGATTCCCGTCTGCTGTGGGTATTTTGTTGCGCATAGAGGAGCTTTGTCAAACAAGTGCATAGCAGGTTTAGAGCGATGCATGGCCGCTGGCTTTGTGACGACGCTCTCCTGGTACCAGTACGTCCTCCTCCTTCTACTAATGAGTTATGTAGCGTTTAGTTAAATCCCTACTCCCTTTGTCAGGCGCTCCCCCTCCTCCTCATATACAGGTCAACAGGTGAGAGATGATAACCTGAGCGAAGCCAGGACTCCTGTTATGAAAAGCATTATGTAAGCTTGGATCAGATATCCCCAGTTTTCCCAAAAGTGAGTTAAAATACGACGAGATGGCAAAGGTCCTGGATTCCGTACAAGCCTGGGATGTTCGTCCCTTGAGCCAGGCGTATCAAATCTCCAGTCCAGCCCTCCCTTCTCTGATGACCACACAGCCGTTCAGGGGTTCGCTGTTTCAAACAAGAGGCCAGCACAGGGGCGATGGAGATCAGCCCAACACACACTCATGACTATACAGTGACTGTTACACCGCAAACCATTGAATTATTCTGCTTCAGTTGTACTTTACAGGCAGCATAGAGTTGTAATTGTGATCAAATTTTCCTATAGTGGCCTGTAACTGTCAAAAAAGAGAAGGCAGGACTCAAGTTATGTAATCCAAGCACCGTTAACAGTTTAATATTAATTTGACCAAGCAGTCTAAAAAGGGTGAGAGGCAGCCAGTGAGAAAGGGACACGGCAGGCGAATGAATGACAAAGATAAAAAGAGATATGAAAAGCAGGCACCAAGGTAACGAGGTGGCACAGATGACAAGACTGACCAGTGTTGGTTGTGACTCTTTTCCAGTGCACTCAAACATACTCACTACTTTGGAGACAAGGCTTGGTTGTGAGAGAATATGTTTTAAATACTCTGGCAGAGCTTACCAAAGATGCCAATTTTAGCTGTGACAACTAGCGTTTTTGAGGCCAGCTAGCATGACATTTGGATTTAAATGACTAGTTGCTTAAAGATTCCCATGCCTCAGTCCAACAGAAACATCTAGGGAAGAGGACATTTGTTTGAAGCTGAAAAGCTCTTTTGAAAGATTGATCTCTCAAAGGAAAATAATTAAAGCCCACTATCAATTTAGCCTCTTTTTACATTTCATTGCCCTAGTTTAAAACTGTGCATTGAGCCAATAATTCCCTCCTGTGCCACTTTTTCATCCATACAGTATATTGTTATGTGTTTTATTGATTCTAATGTATTCACAGGCCAAGTGATTCTGTGTACCACGACACAGCTATAGCTAACTTCTTAATGCAACAAGCTAAATATTTGTGTGAGTCATGTTTACTGACTTTATGACTCCTCTGTACTTACTGTTACACTACAATATGTTCATCAAGAGTTACAGCCACTTTAAATTTGATCACATTTAAAGGCTGTTTGTTAGACCACTAGGGTAATTAAAAAAATTCAATGAAATTAACACTGATGGACTCAAAACTTTCCCTGCTGTGACACGAACAGACCATCATAGTGTCAGTGGTAGTGATAAAAACTTACTTCATAAGCTGCCCTTGCATTTTGCCAACCAGTAAGTGGACGTTGCAGCCCTTTATGCTCCAGCATTTCAACAGATTCAGTTTCAGTGTTTATTTTTGAGCGTGGTAGTGTGTCGTCCTGAGAATTCCTCTTCCTCCCACTCACCTCCTCAAACTTGGACCACTTTCTGCATACTAAAATCATCGTCACCCGCCCTGCGCCTCGCTTTCTTTCTCTCCCTCACACACGCACACACACAAATGAGTAACATTATTCTTGTCTTGCCTGCAGTTTGCCACATTGTACGTAGGCTGAAATAAATGTTTAACTAAATTACATGCTCACCTTAAGATTTTGCATTTGCATTCATGCTTGTGTAATCTCCTGCTTTAGGCGAGAGATACTGCGTGAAAAATGGATTCACTTATTCTTTTTTTCCTTTTTGTCAGACCCTGGTTACCTCTCTTATCACGAAAAGCCTCCCACTCTTGAAAATGTATGTCAGATCCTCTGCAGAAGATGAATACTTGTGCGTCACGGCACTGGCAATTCCTCATGTTTAGCAAAGTAAGAGGGAGAAAAACTCTCACATTACAGTATATAATAGCTGATTGATATTTCAGTTCAACGGAAATCAATTATCAATTACTATCAATCACTTATATATATGTATGTAAAGGTAGTTTGAAGATCCCCTCCAAACATGTATTAGGACATATATATATATATACAAATACTCTGCTTAGCTCAATAATGTGTGTCTGAAAAGTATTTCCACATTACACACTACTGCTTCTGCCTCATTAGAAAAACCATAATCGATGAATATTTAACATTAGTTCATTTTTTTACGTTTTCCTGCTGGACACAAGATGTCTCGTACTTTACTGTAAAGTCCATTCTCAGTGTTTGTGCACTGGTGGTACACTATAAGTTGCATTATGGACCAGAATTGACTTCCAAACTATTTATGATGTCACAAAACATGCTCATAGGCCCCGCCCCTTAAAATCAGATTTTCAGTGAGCTCAGAGAAACTTTCCACTTTCAGCAGATGAATGTGAAAACCTCCTTCTAGTGTCAAACTCTGCACATACATCATTCAAACAGCACATTGTAGGAACTAAAAGACAAGAAGAGTTGAGGGCGACTTTAAGTACAAGTGGTACATAAAAAGAGAAGTAGAAGATATAATAAACTGAAGAAACAGACTTTTATCTACACAGTATGTCCATAGTTTCAAGTTGAACCAGGGTGATGTGAGATCACATTATGAAACTGGGTTAAATAAACACTCGTAATGTAGCCTTTTCAACGTGAGCAGGCAGCCCTGCGGATGTACGTAAATATAACTGCTGAATGTAGAGGAGGGCATGGGGTCACGGCAGGGGAATGACACAAATCCTCTGTCTCCGCAGCAGCTGAGGCCCTTCACACATTCCTCTGGGTGATGGCAACATCACTGGCCAATTAGTGGCTGCCGTCCAACAAGAGGGGTCCTATCTGAATGTACTTCAGTAAAATCAGCTGACCTGTGGCCCTTCAAACATGAACATTTGTTTCTCCTGAGGGTTAGTTTTGAGGTCAGACCAGACTAGGAAACTAGGTTTTGGGGTGACTCTTAAAATAACGACAGCAGTGTATTTAAAAGAGGCAAAAGTATCCTCTTATATCTGCACATTCCTCCGTAATTGTGCCCTGGTTCCTCTGTAATTGCAGCAGCAAACGTCTGTCAAACAGCATTTAAGTACATTAAGCAGAGGTCCGTCGGGCAATAGTTCTCTTTAGTTCACATTAAAAGAGCTAAGAGATGAATGGATCAAATGTTCTGCAGTGAGTTATAAAGGTCAGACAGTGGAGAGCAGGCAGGGGGGTACATTAATACCAAAATGTCTGAAAATACATCATTCATTGTGAAGCTGTCAGTGAGTAAACCACAATGCTGGCAGGTGAAAGAAAATCACCTACGTCCCCTACAGAAGAGGGAGAATATATCTATCTATATATTTTCGTTTTGCAGTTCTGTAGTGCTGCGTGTTTAATGTGTGGTTGACACAATAAACCAAAGTTTACCCGAGGCTTTATACGAATGAACACCAACACAGAATATGAAGGAATACATCTGAACTAAACCCACGTTGTCAAATCCTAAACTACATTGCTATTCCGTTCACTTGCAGTGCCTTCGCTGCCTCACTTGGGTGGCAAGCGAACAGGTGGAGTCACTCATTTTGAAACTACATTCATGATTTGTTTTTTGTTTATTTACACCAGTGGAACATGAGTATTGGAACATCAATAGGATTATTAGCCATGCTATAGGCGTAGCTTAAGGGATGGATGTTGGTTGGTCGATCCACCACTTTGGTCCAGACTGAAATATCTCAGCAACTATTTGATGGATTGGTATGACATTGTATACATAAATTCATGGTCTCAAGTGGATGAATTGTAATAACTTTGGTGATCTTCTGACTTTTCATCCAGTGCCATCATCAGGTCAAAACTTCGCTTTGTCTAATATTCAGCCTCAGCCGTACTATGTGTTTAGTGCTAATTAGCTAATGTTTGCATGATAACATGCTAAAGTAAGATGGTAACCATTGTTAACATTACCTGCTAAACATCAGTATGTTAGCATGTTCACATTAGCGTTTAGATACTGTTAAATAATTTATTTTAAATAAAATGAACCAATAGAGTACTCTGTATTTCTATTGGTAAGCTGCTGGATGGCCACATTCCATTCATTTTTCTGAACTGGCTCAAAATAAGATTTTTGGGGTTATTTAAATAAATGCTTGGTTCAAACTGGGGTCTTCGTGTCAAAAATACATTAGTGGTCACCACTTTTGGGTGGTCTTGCAGTAACTGCTTCCTGTTTGAGTTTTATTTTTATGCCCATTTCTATTTGCCTGGAAGTAGGAAAGCTACACAAATACAGACCAAACAGAAGATGCCTCATTTCTTTCTCCCGTCAAAAAAGAATGAAAGGCTTCTCATTTCTTTTCCTTTCTGGGGAATGTAAGCCCCCAAAGAATGTTTTAAGGAAATTCCAGTGAGAGAAGATAACAAACATGGCCAGTGTTAGTTGTGTCTGCGGCCGTTCGGCTGTGGGCAGCAGGTGAACTTCACAGAGGATTGACCGCTTATGCAGGGCCCGCAGCTCCGGTTAGACTCTATTCACCGGCTCAAATTATCACCCGTTCTACACTCCCACCTCCCTGGCCCTCCACAATAAGCCCTCTTACTCCAGCATGAGTGAAAGCAAACAAATCAAAGTCGCCACTGAGCGTTTTCACCTTGCTGACATTTACATGAGGGTCCTGCACACAGATTAGATCTTTTTCAAGCCCTGATCCCAATATAGTAGGAAACCTGTTTAAACAGAGCAGACACACTGCACCTTTTCCCTCTCATCAGACTCAGTTCTGGTGTTTTTAACCAGCAAAGAGCAACATGTTGAGTCACATTTTGCCAGTTTTGATCTGAATAATGCATCTACAAAATCAAAACCAAGGTACAAAAAGTGGATTTGATGTTTCCTGTGATTGCAGTAATTTCCGTCTTAGCAGTCATCCAAAAAAATGTTGAGCACCAACAGAGAGAATGAAGCCTTGGTACATGGAAGAGGCCTCTTTTCCTCTAATTTCTGTATCAGACTCAAAAGTCCCTGTTGTGTTTTTCCCATTGGCCTCCCTTGGCAAACAGCAGCAATGCAGAAAATCGGATAAACGGATTAACTGTGGTGCCAACCTCGTTCTGAAATGGTATTTATAATGGGTTTCCTAATGCCTCCTACTGGCCGAGGAAGTGTGTTATTTGATGGATTGGAGGGGAAAGCTCAAAGTTATATGTTAAAGGAATGTGACAGTTTGTTCTGATCATCTCAGAGTCGTTGACCACTCTGTCTCCTCTCTTCACAGTGATTCGAGCTAAAGTGGTGGGCAAGAAGCTACTGAGAGATGGACCTTTTGGGACGATGCGCTACACGGTCAAGCAAATGAAGGTGAGGGCGTGAATCCTCTACCGAAGTGCTGCTGAGCAAGACACTGATTCTCTTTAAGCTTTAAAGGAACAGTAGGACATTTTAGTAAACACATGTACTCCATTTTTTGCCAAGAATTTGGTAAGAAGGTTGATATCAGTGTCATGTCTCTGAGCTAAATAGGAAGCTAGAGCCAGTGCGGTTGGCCTAGCTTAGCTTGTCTGGAAGAAGGGGGGCAGCTAGCCTGCATCTCTAAAGCTCATGAACTGACATATTATACAAACTATTATATTAAAAGCTGTATGATATTAATTAATTAGTAGTTTAAAGGTGCTATAGGTGGATTTTTTTTATTTTGGACAAAGCCAGGCTAGCTGTTTCCCCCTGCTTTCAGTCTTTATGATAAATAAGCTAACTGTACCAGCTTTAGCTTCATATTTAGCTCACAACTAGACTAGCTTAGCAGCAGACTGGAACAAATTAACAACTCCCACGTTAGTAGTAATTAAAATATATACGTAATTAAAACATTGTATCTCATAAAAACACAACTTGTCGTCAGTACATTTCTGTTTGGGCAGAGCCAGGCAAGCTGTTTACCCCTTCGTCTTAAGCTAAGCTAAGCTAATTGCCCCCGGCTCTGTCTCCGTCATTACGTACAGATATTAGAGTGGTATTGATCTTCTCATCTAACACTCAGCAAAAAAGCTTGTCAGTGTATTTCCCAAACTATTTCTTTCCCTGTAATAAAGGGAAGGGATGATGGATCACACCATTCACTGCCAAGATAGGCTGCATTGTTGTGTTTGGTTCATAAAATCTTTAATTTAATTAATTTGTTTTGAATAAAGTCATTGAAAGATGGTTCAGCTTTTTGTGACTGCCATTTTGAGCTGCCATGTTTTTATGCAGTGCTGTATCGAGAGTCAAGAGGTCGAACTGAAATATACAGGATGTCTATTTCTAATCACACTTCAAGAAACACTATTATTACTGGAAGAATGGACATGCTTGTTTATTGGATGTTAACTTAAATAAAAATTAAGTTATATAAAATAAAAAAAAATTATAATTGCCTCTTATTTAATCAATTATCTTTTTGAATAATAAGTGAAAGTGATTCAGAATAGTCAGAGAAAGTTGGAGAAGCTCAATGACTCCTTATGACAAACACTTCTGATTGTAACCACAATGCTTAAAGTGTTATTAACCTGAAAAGAAACAAACCTATTTTTTTCCCATTTAAGAACACTCTTTGATCTCCTATTTAAAAGCACAGGCGCACACACACGTCATACGCTGTCATACACTGGATGTGGCAGGAACTCTTTAGTTACGAGACTGCCTCTCCGCCCCCTCAGCTGCTGTGTGATAGCTGAAAAGCAGCTTGGGATACTTAGCCTGAAAGCCCGTTCTTCACTTCCTCTATATTCTTACATAACGCTTCATATTTCTGACAGATGCTGACATCGGCCTGCTGCTCAGACAGGAGCCAGGCCGGAGGATTAGCGGGCTTACAGGCATTACAGCTCAACCAAACTCCTCACTCCGAGTGTAAACATTTCAACAGAGTCCATGCGCTGCGTCAGTACAATCCCAGTTTGTACAAAAGCATTAAGTGGCCTCTTGTTAGTGAAGCACACCAATCATCACTGTAAGGATTATCCTCAGGAATTAGATGTGACCTTTGCACCTTCTGGGTTATTTATTTGTATTACAGTCTGCTGGTTTATACTGCAAACTGTGGTTTTCCTTGTGGACTATAATAGAATACAATTCCCTCCAAATTTCAACAAATCCTATGAGACAAATGCCTTTGGCTTTTCTAAACATCCACAGTTTCGGGCTTAAGTCACAGTTTGTTCTGCTTTTCTGGGAGCGACGCGTCTAAACAGGGATTTCCTGTTGTTCCCAGACAAATAAATTACACTGACGAAAACACAACAGTTCTCAGGGCAAACACTGACTGTTGGCTCCGCATACCTGAGCTGAATAGAAGGAGCCGAGTTCCACGGTTTAGCAATGACCTTGCCAAAACAGCATCAAAGTCGAAGCACATAACACAACGTAATCATGTTATCTATGATTTAGTTGAGGGCAGAGCCTAATACTCCTTATCCCACGAGGCATTCCTCAAGGAATGTCATCTGATAAAGCTGTTTTCATTTCTGATTATTTATGCGAGGGGGTGGAGTCGGGGGTGTAGTGCCCGGGTGAGGGGTACAGGGCAGCGCTTCTTGTTCAAGTTCTAACTCCAGTCTTCTTTCTCGTGTCTTGCAGATGTACAAAGGATTCGACAAAGTCCAGCACGTGCAGCACATTTACACGGATGCCTCAGAGAGTTTGTGCGGCGTTAAGTTTGACATCAACAAGTACCAGTACCTGATCACAGGTAAACCGACTTATACTTGAATACGGCTGACAGACTCGTTATTAAAGGGACAATCTGATGCTTTATTTGTTGTTTGTTTTAAGTTTTTAAATTGATTAGTCACAGAAATGATTACTAAGCTTTAGAAACAGTTGTATACTTACTATAAAAACTACCAATAATGATACAGACTAGTCAGGGAGGATAGTGAGGTTATCAAGTTGCATTATGCGAAGTGTAGGAACCACTTGTTTTATGAGCTTGACCCACACTACAGAATATCTCAGCTCTGGTTTTGACCATTCTGTTTTTAGTCTGTATTTCACAAGAGCGATGCCTTTGGGATTACGTATTTGGAAAAGAAAATGCATAAAATTGGTTTATTTTATCTAGTATTTCAGATCATTCTATTCAGATTGAACTTTAAACTCCCAGGTTTGTGGCAAGACACAACCCTCAAAACAAAATCCCTTCCAACCACAGAGATGATTTCAGTCATGTTACTGTTGCCAACAAATGCTTTCTCCTGCTCAGAGGCCTTCCAGAGTCTTGCTAGCAGCATTGCAAGTTTGTTTGGCCCAGTGTACTCCCTCAGTCCCCTTCTCCCCAAGGACTTCTTCATTTGTCCTGTGACACAAACTTTCCCACTATTTATATCCTCCCATTTCCAACTGTGTAAGTAGGCAAAGCTGGGGCCCATTTTTGCACTCATTTCCCTCAAATTTCAAAGGCCAGAAACAGCAAAAGGCAGTTTTCTCTCTCTCACAACTTGTAATTAACAGCTAGCAGGAAGCGACTGGCGTTTTCCAACAGAAGCTTTTTATGAGTTGCTATTTGCAACAGAGGTGCAGTTTACTTTGGACCCTGCTGCGCTTGGCGTATACAACTGTCGCTAAGTTCCGACCTGTAAATACTGTAACTACACCCCACAGTGCAAGTGAACAAGCCGGCGTTGCCAGGCAGCGACGGCTATGTTTACCCAGTCTGGGTGCAAGTGACATCATTGACGTCTTTCGCTGCTCTCAGGGCGTCTATAATAAGTCCTGCATATGATCAAGACAGGCAATTTATACGCACCAGGGCGAGCTACTTGGCTCTCCTTTGATCAAGCCTTGAGTGCTCTGGCCCTGATTAGTATTTTAGGAGCATGTCACACACTCAACACCATGTAATAAGCCTGCGAATGACTCCAGTAATCCCAGTGCAGGGATGGAGGACAAGGGGGTTGTTTGGGGGGGGGGGGTTCGAAGAAGAAGTGCATATTTGTGAGCTGTCAAATTCCCACGTGGTGACCACACGGCGAAGGAGACATATGGTGACAAATCCTGATGTTCCTGAGTGCTCATAGGCCGCCATGGTGCACCTGTCTCAGGAGTCGGTAAGCCGCAAACGGCCCGGCGCCAAAAATAGATGTCAACTGACCTTTGGATATTCAGAAATAGGGGTGTTAGTTTAATATGGGCTAACAGAATGAGATTGTCTTACCATACATAAAGAAGATGGATTGCTTGAGCAGTTTGTTTACATTATCTTATGTTACATGCTGAGGATTATGAAATTAGACAAATAACAAAATAGTATTCATGGCCTCATGGTTCCAGAAGTGAAGATTATTTTTCCAAAATGAGCTACCAGCAATGTGATGCCCGCTTTGATTAAGTGACTGCCAATTAGATTAAGATTAATAAAGTTATGATCTTTCAGAAAACTTTGGAAAACACTAGTGATGCTATCATCTGTCATGAGGTTTTGCAATACTAACTTAACAATGCCGTCCTGCTCAGCACCTGTCTCATCACCTTTTGGCATCCAGACACCTCTTTTCAAAATAGGAAAGTCCTATCCACACTACCTGATAAGTCAGGTGTTGACACTTGAATCAAAATGTAAGAATTAAATCTCAACAGTCTCCAAAATGGCGTTAAAGCTGCCAATTTTGGCAGTGGCACGTCAAAAATGCCTTTTTTCTAAAGCAGATAGCCCTAATAGCGGCTCATCATATTAACCCCTCATTCTTTTCCTCCTCAGGTCGAGTGTACGATGACAAGGTCTACACGGGGCTGTGCAACTTCAACGAACGGTGGGAGCGCCTCTCATTGGCCCAGAAGAAAGGCATCAACCATCGCTACCAGCTGGGCTGCAACTGCAGGGTGAGTGGAAACCAGCAACATCCACCCAGCAAGAACAAGGAAGATGAGGGAAGAGGAGGCAGAAAGAGGATCAAGAGAAGGAGGAGTTAGAGCTTAAAGCTCCTCTATTTTACTAACTATAATGTAAATAAAACTAAACCTTAAACTGCTCATCTAAAGTCTACTACAGTGCTGTATTATTGTTATTTAGACTGAATTATGAGCCTATTTTCCACAATTTTACATCATGGATATTCAGCAGAGACAGAAATAGAGAGAAAACAAGTTTTACCACCACCATTGGGACTTATTTAATAACAGCTCTGGAATCAGCTCAAGTCCTCATTCCCAGTTTTATGTGACTCAAACATGTAGCCTGCCGCTGTGCAGCTGCTGACCCGCGTCGTAAACGTCCTACTGTACAGCAGTGTCCTGAACATCTGCAAACACCATCGACCCCATCAGTATAAGTGGACTAGCAGAGAGACCTATTTGTTCCCATTGTGGGCCAGCGCCTGTAAACTGTGTTCAGCGTGTACATGGCAGCAGCCCAGAGGCATCCAGAGAAGGCCATCGATCAACTGAGACTTCAGTCTGCGAGTCAGTAAGCACAGGCAGGCGTAAACCTCATCACACTTATTAAAAACACACTCCGCCGTCCTCCACATTGCTCCACAAATGATGATTTGCTGCGCTAGAAAGCAGGATGTGTGTCGTACCGGTTAGAAAATTATTCTCTACACACCATTAAAACCACTCAAACCAGGAAGTTATGCTGAACATCCCTGAACCGTGGAGGACAGACTCTCCAGGCTTGAATAACAAAAAGACCCAAAATGGGAAGTGTGCCCTCTAACTTGCTGATTGAATTTTCTGGCTCGTTCCCAGATCTAGATAAGTGCAGCCCTATGCAGCTGATGACTCTGTTTTGCTGTCACTAAATACCGCGTTTCCGTTCATCACCTCCGAGTAGTTGTGTGAATCTTCCTGTCAATTCATGCTGTAAATTCATCTGCAAAGCTGCTTTTTTTTGTGTGTGAGCACCTGGAGGTGTGACGCACGAAAGAGGCTCAATAAAAACTAATTGAATCATTAAGAAACTACAAAAACATCACTGCTTCAGGAAGATGGCTGACGTTAATTTAACATTCCACTGCACAAAGCATACGAATGCCAGAGTACGCTTACTGGTTTTGCACTTAGTTATTTAAAAAGCTGCCTTTTTACACCTCACCTATTTATCTGCTGAAGTGAATGACTGAAAGCAAATGCTGAAAAGCTGTAGAGAAGATGAGATTCCATGTTATAGATGTTTCACCAAGTGCATGTTCACCCTTTTTATATTTCAAATCAAATCATATACTCACTTCCTCTCTTTGATGCTTATTTCTCTTGTACAATTTTGAGATATTTTTCATATGCTAATGCTCATTAAGCTAATTCTAGTTTGGCCTTTGCTCAAACTTCTAGACTGTAGACTCACTGTTGAAGTTGCTTGATAGCCTACTGCCAATTACGGTTAGCTTCAATAAGGAAATAAGCCGATTATGTTGTTCAGCAACCCTAAGAGAATGGCCTTCCTTTTCGGAAATGTACTTATTTGCGAGATTTATAGAGATTAATACCACTCTCAAGCTAAATTTGAAGCTACAGCCAGGAGACTGTTAGCTTACTTTAGCGTACGCAGGGACAAGTTTGGCTTTATCCAGAGTTTAAAATAAAACACAGGACAGCTCACTTTTTAACATGGTAAACCAACAGGTTCCAACTTGTTAAATAGTGGTTTAGAGGTGCTAAAGGTGAATTTTTGTAAACTTTGGAAAGACCCCATTTCCCCATGTTTCCAATAGTATGCTTACTAGGCTAATTGCCCACTGGCTATAGCTTCATATTTGTATTATTTGACAGAGAGTGGTGTCAATCTTATCTTTAGCCTTTGTAAGAATACAAATAAATCAATTTTCCCAAAATGTCAATCTATTAAGTTAACCTAAATTGCACTTAAAATATTTTAAGTATGTAAGTGTAAAGTTTACCAAATGATGAACTATTAGAGATGACATGTCAAGAATAAAAACGATAGCAAAGGAAGGGTGGGATTGAATTTCCAAATATATTACAGTAAGAAGGAAAAGGAAACATATTTTAATAAAGAAACGCACAGTGAGTCTACACTAGTTGTTGCTAGTGTGCAGTTTTGTTTCCTGCTTCATGGCTACATCCTTAGTTTCGCTTCTGTCTCTGTAGATTAAGCCCTGCCACTACCTGCCATGCTTCGTGACCTCAAAGAACGAGTGCCTATGGACGGACATGCTGTCCCACTTCGGCTATCCTGGCTACCAGTCCCGGCATTACGCCTGCATCGCGCAGAAGGAGGGCTACTGCAGCTGGTACCGGGGCATGACCGCACGTGACAAAACCACCATCAACGCCACCGACCCCTGAACCCCAAAGCACCCTGCCAGAAATCCACTGCCATCTCCCTGACTCCGTCCCATCCCGATCACTTCTAGAGTATTACAGGACTCTTTAAGCTCACTGGCCTGGGTGACAGCCTCTTTAAATGGGCAAAAAAAGAGAAAAAAATTGAATCCATTACAGTGCCTGTTTCGTAGCACTTCTAGTAGAAAACAATACCTTTTTTGTTGTGCAGATCGCCCTTGTTTGACTCTATTATCATTTTCCTAAACCACGAATCAAAAAGTCCTTGCTCCAAACTATTTTTTAAGGGTTCTGTGGCGTTAACAAGGTGACAAATACCTACTTTTAAAAGACCAATAAGCAGTGTAAGACTTTGATGGGATCTTCATAACTGAAGAACTAATTCCCATGACATCCAGTGACCTGTACACAATTAAAAGTATCAGTAAGTATCATTGGTGTTAATTAGTGAACCTAAGTTAGCCTACTGCTAGTATTCTGGTAATTTTGTGAATTGCAGTCTATATTTGATAAAGCAAGGACTCTAAAGGTGATGATGTACAAAAGTACAGCCAGTGATCACTAATCCGAGACGTAAAGGTGTTACACTGTTGCTAAGACTCAGTTCTGCACATCACCAATACAGAGCAGAGCCAAGAATCTTTTCAACATTACAGACCGAGTGCCAATGTGAGGTATGACCTCTGAGAGTTATACCTCCTTATTTTGGCTTCAGAAAACTTTTTTGAAAATGGTATTGTTTTACAGTGAAGTATACATCGATTATGTTCAGTTTTTACTGTAACATGTGTCTTTATGGATGGTAGTATCTCTGCTTACCTGAATGTTTGCAATGTAACTCGTTTTGCAGTTATATCACAAACAACGCCCTTTCTGTTAAGCACTGATTGACAGATCAGAAATGCTACAAATGTCTGTTTGTTACAGTGCCAACGCAGGGAAGAGCTCACTTCTAGCAGAGATGGTGATATTTTATTTTTTGCTGTATATAACATAAGCTACAGAAATGAACTATCAACTCAGCTGAAACCTCTATAATTCATTTATTTATATGTTTATTGGATTACACAGTAACCATGTACTATATCTGCAAAAAAAGAAGAAGAAAATATATATAATAACAGGTCAAAACTACATTGTGACAACCATCACAGCCTGTGTAACCTTCCAGAATGAAGTACCAGCATCTCCAATGGTATTGTACTTATGGTACTGTTTTGTTAGCTTGATCATAGATACCCCGACTGGTACTTTCCACCAATCCAATGAAAGTCAAGTATAAGCAGAGGTTTCAGAATATGAGATATTTTGTAAGTGTATATTCAATCTTTTTGTATTTAACTATTTCAAATGGATATATATAAATGAAAGTAACAATATTGTCACTAAATTCATTTTCTTCACCTGTTCCCTTCTAGGGATTTTTTCTTATTTTTTCCCAGTGCTGTACCTTCAGTCCATTCCATTAACAGACACAGATTTGCCTCATTGGGAGTAATGGCCCCATCACCACTAATGCTAAAAGAATATTGCATCGCTGACGCAGGCAGCGCTTAGGACACCAACTGTGGCTTCGACCAAATTGGTTGTTTTCATATTTGCTTTCTTGCGTAGAGTTAGATGAGAATATTAATACCACTCTTATGTCTGTATGCTAAATATGAAGCTAAGCCAGCAGCAGGTTAGCTTAGCTTACAGTGGCATAAAGACAGGGAATGGCTAACTTGGTTCAACTCAAATGTAAGATTATTTCCCTACCAGCACCACTACAGCGCACCAATTATCACCTTATATCTCCTTTTATTTGTACAAACATCAAAGTGTTGAGATATTACGAGGAATTCTGTGTTGGACTGTTTCCTGGCCAGACGTGATGACTTCCTGGAGTCTTACGGTTCTTACACTTTGGTTTTTGAAAGGATTAAACAAGCAAGTGTAACGTGTTAATAAGTGAGCTTTAGAGATGCTGGTAAGCAATTTTTTTTTTTACCTTTGGACTGAGCCAAGCTAGTTGTTTCCAGCATTTATGCTAAGCTATGCTAATCATCTTGTGGCTGTAGCCTTGTATTTAACGGAGAATCATGAGCGGTACCAAAATTCTCGTCTAACTATTCGCAAGAAAGCGAAAAAGCTTGTTTCAACTTTAAATTCATCTCCATTCCAAAATGACAGAAATGTGGTGTTTTATTCATGTGAAAGCAGCCTCGGATCATATCAGAGGAGGAAGACAACAATGGCTCGTATCTGTTACTCAAGTATTTGATTTCAGTGGCGTTAATCTTCCATGTTTAATTTTGCAACACAAGCACTCAGCTCTTACCAAAATATCCCTCAATCCATCTTAACTAACTTAACTAACTAATCGGCCTCCTTCATAATGAATATATGGCTTGAGTATGCAACACACAGACTAATGATTAGTCATCATTTTGTTTTTAAGAAGTTACAAGAAAAGTGAATAGTTATTGAACTTCAAGGGACAATCTCCTATCTGTCTTTATATGTGATGACGAGGCTCTTTCTCCAACTGTGGCATTTCTGTGTCACTATTTCTGTGGTTCATGTTTGTGTAAATATACTGTCTGCTTAACACAGAAACACTTGGTCAAGTTTGATCCTTTAAAACAAACAAAAAAAACAGAACAATCCAATCAAGGAAGCTGTGTACAGTCTGAATCCTGAAGTGTGTGTGGGGGGAGGGGTGTTTCCTTGTAGGGGTTATAGAAATGTTTGACTTAATTTCTGTGTTTTATATTTTTATAATAAAGATTTAATGAAAAACGGGCCACAGATGGTCTTTGGTGATTCTTTTGTGTGAGTGCGGTGAATTCAATGAAGGCGAGGGACTCACCATCTGTGTGTGGTTGGGATAGAAGGTTTGTTCATTCAGGGGGAATTTCTCAGGACCGAGGGAGTGGTAGAGCTTAATCATCTGAGAAAACTGCAAGTAGAAATAAACAAGACAATCAGACGTCATTATTTAAGCAGTAGAGGACAGGAGAGTATAGATAGAAACATTTGGATGTTAAGCATGTGTACATTCATAACCAGAGGACAAGTTGCATGATGGATAATCTAGATTTCAACACTGGATTAGGGTGGCATGGAGGCATTTTTGCCCTCTCAAATGCTTATAAAATGTGACTCAGTACACTTAGACCCAATAAGTGACAATACAAGTCTGAACACCTGTTGCCCTAAATAGAAAATATATTTTCAGATCCACAGGAGTCATGCATTCAGGAGTTATTTAATGTTGAGGTGTTGTAATTTTCCTTTCTGGTGAACCAGAACTACTTCCTCTTATTACCTACTTCAGTTAATGGTGTTCCAGCTGTGGGTTAACATAACAGTGAGGTTTGCTTGACATTGTAGCGGCAATGTACTCTGGGCAATTTCCTGCGACACTGGGAGAGAAATGTCTCTCTACCTGTTTTATAATGGGTACTGCTTCCCCGTGTGACTATACAATGTCTTTGCCAAATGGCAGCTCTTTTGAGGCAGTTTGTTTAATGGTTTATATTCACCAATACAAACCAATAACTAAATATACAGTACAATGCATCAGCTCATATGGTCTGAGCATTTAAGCCTTATCAGCTTGAATTCATATATACTTTACATTGTTGGCAACCATTTTCCAAACATAGCATGGGTTTCCTGGTTTCTCTCCAGGCAGCCATTGGTCTTAGGCTACAGAATTGACATGTAGGGACATGGACGTTGTTGCAGATACAGTAGTACCTACAGTGTCACAATGAACAACTTGCCTGCCTTTATAGTTGTCAGAGTCACATTATTTTTGTGTGGTAAAGCAGTTAACACAGTAGTTCCCCAAATGAGGGGCACTGAAGCAACAAATCTGATCATCAATAGTTCTTTGAGGCTAGCAGGGTTGACATGATTCCTTATTTCAGAAAGCAAAAAGACATGCAAAGGTGCTGCACGATTAATCATATCGTTGTTATGATACTGTGCGTTTTTTATTATCTACTTGCACAATGTAGTGTGATGTCCATTTTACGAACTGCACGTCTGTTTACTTCCTGTCAACTCTCCAGTAATGTTACATTCACCTCCAACATTGCTTTTTTTATCCTTACGTCAGTTAATTTGTACACATTGTTAATAGTATTTACCTTTTTTTTTTTTTTTTAGCATTTTCGGTCATTTTGATAATCACTTAAGTGTCTTTGAATAGAGGTTAGTCAGCTATCCTAGCTGGCTTTTCCTCCATTAGCTTCCATACCTTTCTAGCTGATGCCAAGCATTAGGCAGAGTGAGAAGTGAATGGAAGATATTGCACATGTACACATACAATTTAAACCCCTTATCCAGCGATCCATGAGGTCGGAGCTTCACTACTCGCTTTTGCAAGACAGTTTCACTTTCATTTTGGCAACTCTTCCAAGCACTGTGTGTAGAAAAAGAGCCATTGTGAACTTACATTAGCTAAGCTGTGAAAATCAGTACAAAAACGTGACAAGCTAATATCACTAATGGCTGAAAAACACTAAACGAGTGGTAAATACTATTAACAGTATGTACAAAGCTATGTACAATACGTACAAAGGAAGTAAACAGGTTCGTAGTTGGTAAAAAAGGATGCACATCACTACATTGTACAAGAAGAGAATAGTTTCACCACATTAAAAACCTGTGAAATTTACATTAACTACATTCAATGTGTTCAAATATGTCAAAACAAGAGAAGAGAGCAATGAATATCCAAACCACTGTATGAAAATCTAAGTTTAATAAAGTTATGCTGCAGCTGATAACATTACATAAAATTCTTAATACCAATAAGCATCTGAGCCATGTGTCTTTTAAAGACTTTCATTCATGTGGCAGAAACTAATAGTTAATATGCTTGAGAAGCAACATGTACTAATCATGTTTCTTTCAAATAAATCCAACAGTGAGTTTTGTTACTGTCTTTTATTGAACATACTTGCTCCTTTAAACTTGTAATGTAGCTGACAGGACTACAGTCATAGACCCATGCAGAGCCAAGCATTCACAACCTTATATATTTCTCTCAGTACAGAGTGAGTAATAATGTGTGGTGGTGGTGGTGGTGGTGGTGGAGGCCACTTGTTCTGCCGACTCCAGAGACAGGTGTTACAGCTCCCTTTAATAGCCCAAATAAATCAGTCAGCCTCCGAGGGACGGACTCACGACACCTTTGTGTGGGTTAAAGTAGAGCAAACGGAGCAGTTAAAGATTGCTCACCACCCAAGGTTTGCTGCAGAAGTTGTAGATGGAGAAGAGAGAGTTGATGCTCGGGACATCGCCGAAATGCAAGCCGATCACAAGGTTCCTGAAGTCCTCTCCGGGGACCATGCTGTAGGCGTGCTGGCGGATCAGGACGAAGTCTGGCTTGAAGGACCTGCAGTAAGACAGAGATAGAAATGAGTTAGGTATAGTTATCAATCTTTAAGGAGAGTATAAACAGATTTTTAAAGGTATTCTATGGTACATTAAAGGTCGTTCAATAGAAGAGATTTCAATAGCACTAAAGATTAATTTTAAGCCACACTAGTTGCATGGATCTGGTAATAGAGATATCTGATGGCTGGTTCCCCCTTTTTTTGCTCAGACTGAAAAACTGGATGGCATGCTGATGTTAGCATTTAGCCCGAAGCACTGAGCCATTTGCTGGCAGACAGGTTAGCAGACATCCACCAGTAAATGTCCTTTTCCCAACACATATATTCATTAATAAAAGCTTTAAAAAGAATCACCCTTTCGTTGAGGAACTGACTGCTCTGGTCAGAAATCTCTACCCGTGGGCCCCTCCCAGGCCAACAGCTCTGTCGGCACATTAACACACTGTATCTGGGCCTTGTGTTTACAGCCAAGGGCTCCGTTATTCAGCGACTTTGTCGTGCTGAAGGGGTGAAGAAATGCTCCTCGGTGCACCTAATCTTTTTGGACCATCTATCCAATTAACACAGCCTAATCCTTCCTTTACAAACTGTTCTGGGAGCGGGGCCAAGCGGCCCATCAGGCACCTGGAGGCCTCATTTAAAGCAGCCCACATTTCATGTTAACACAGGAAATTCACTTTGACTGCAGTCATGTTTTACCTATTAATGTTTTCAGCTTTGATTCAGGTATTGTGCAACAGGGCATGTTTCAGATTCCTGTCATTTACTGCCCTCCAGAAATCTTTCATGCTAGCCAGGTTTTGCCTCAAGGTAACATGCTCTTACTTTGATTTCCAATGGTTTGTTTAGTTAAGTGTCTGTTAAAAGACACAATGCAGCCATTTACAATTTTTATTTGCAGAATTATACTTTGGATTTCTACTCTGCAAAGCTCTTTTCCCAAACTGTAAAATGTATCTGAATCATAGAGTATAGGTAATACATGTAAACTAGTAAAGTTTGTTTTGTCTTATGTGATTATGGCTCTTCATACAAATCTAGGATTTTCAGTCCAGTCTTTAAATAGAAAGGGCACTTTGGAACAGCCGAGTCAAATTTACAAATACAATTGCACAATTAAAGCTGCATTGATTATATTTTTAGCTGGCAAATTGTGTCTGTCTGCTGTTTGGTGCTGAGCATGTGGTGTACAGTGGGCTTATCACAGCTGGAAACAGAACCTAAACAGTAAAGTTGCCAGCTCTAAAACCAAAACAATGATCTGAAAGACGCTAAAACTACCAAACTGGAGTCGGCTGATAATTCTTTGTGTGTTCAAAATCATTTGAACCACTGTTATATAAAATACAGGTGAACAAACAGACATGTGACCAACAGCATCACAAAAAAGCTGCTAGATTACTTCAGTTAACTTGCAGACGCTGTACATCCCACATGCACGTACAAAAATATGTGTGCATATATGCAGAGGTATACACACACAGGAGGTAAAGGGCTGCAGGTTGTAGGGTGAAATTACAGCCAGGCCCTCAAACAGGCTCCGGGTCCTCGAGTGTTAGACAGCACAGACAGGACTGGCAGGAGGACTGAGGAGTGATCTGGTCCCGGCGACAGAGCGACTACAGCTGTTCCTCCCTGCTGCTGCACTCAGCCACAGTGGCAACAGACCAAAGGCTCTGCTATTTATACTGGATGGAGCTGTTTATTGAGGCTCCAGAACCAAACCAGACTCAAAAGTTCATGTGAAACACAAGTTCCTGATAAATACATGGGCTCATTTTGTATAACGTTCTGTTTCTAGCAAACACCCAAAGTTAGAGGATAACATTCTGTTTAAAAATGTCCTTTCTTGAGTTGAAATACACCTGTCCTGTCAGCCGAAAACAATGTGTAGCGCTGCATCCAAGAGAAGAAATCCACCGTCTAATCCACATCGGCTGGATTGAAAGCAGGTATGGAAGCAAGTAGGGGGTGCACCTAAGTAGAATTTCCATTATGTATTCATCTGCTAATTATTTTATTGATTAATTGTTCAAGAAAATGTCAGAATACAGTAAAATAATTTAAAAAAAAATGCCCATCACAACTTCAGAGATAGAACAGTCTAAAACCCAAACTTATTTAATTTGCTATTATAGAAGACTACTAAAACCAGCAAGCATTCCCATTTAACAAGCTGGAACCAGTTATTTTGAGCATTTTTGCTTTTTAAAATCAAGATAGTTGCCTGGGCATTCTGGGGGATTGGGGTTTTAAGAGACTAATCATGTAATCACAAAGTCCCCGGTTGAAGTCAGGCCAGGGATTTTATTGAATGTCTCAAAGGACTTGATACTCCAACAGTGACATTCATGTGTGAAAGTTTGTGTCATATATTCACAATGTAGATGTAAATTAGTAAGGACAACCTCTTATGCCTTGTTTTTATCTCTTATCATCTGTTCACTACTACAAGCTGAATTGTTCGACAGCACAGGAAGACACTAAGCGCGTGCGTGCATGCATAAACCCAGATAGACTATACCTTTGTGCTACCTCATTACCACAGAAAGGCCAGATGCAGAAGACATTCGGATCAGTGGGATGGCTTTCACCGGGCTAATGGAGTCAGTGCCCTATAGCAGCAGAGCATTACTGAGGTCTGTCACCCATTAACTTTGTTTTTCCATCTCTTCACTCGAACTCGTTCTGCCGAAGCAGGGCTCCCTGCGGGTTGTGGATTACTCTAAAGCGGCAAATCTATGCTTTACGATCCGAATCGCTCGTGCCCTACAGTCATCACTTCACGGGCGATATGCTAATGCGCCCTTTGAATGGGTTATCAGTGGTGCAATAAAGGCTGATAACAGGCACTGATCAGGGGATAGTGGAGTTATAGATTAGGACATGAGGTGGGAATGTATCCATGTGGAATCATGAGCCCACTCAACACTTGAATAGTAAATGGAGCCAGATAGGTAAAGATGCGCTGGAAAAAATATCCAAATATTCAAATCAGTGTTAAAGCCAAGTCAAATAAACCTGTGAAAACTTCAAAAAAAATCAAACTTCTTCAGAACCGTTTGTTTCAAGTGTCCTAATACTGCTGAATTTGTCTTACTTGATGTTGAGATTGTCACGCATATCTAGACATAAAATAATAGACTAATCGGTCAATACTTAAAGTGACACTGCATAACCATGCTTGATGTGTGTGTCATGGGTTGCTTAAGGGGAACAGTAGCATGCCTCAAAACATTAAAATACTTAAAGCTGCTACAATCCATATTTTTGTAGATAGATAGATACATTCTTAATTGTCCTTTTCAGGAACAGTCTGCCACAGTCTGTACATACACAAATACACATAACATTACCACAGGATAGATAGATTTAACACAACACAATTATTACACATAACAGCTCCCGGGAGGTTTTGTTAAGTAATACTATGGCAGAAGGGACGAAACTTCTGCCATAGCGAGCTTGTACTGGATTAAACGTGGTCTTGTACTGATGATTCCACAGAGCGTTATCACCAGAATCTGTTTTCTTCAGCTGTGCGGTGCATTTTAGCGTCTTTCAGTTTGTTGTTTTGGTTTTATGGACTGCAACTTTAACATTTTCGGTTGATTCTCACAGCTCTCAGAAGTGTAATTTCTAGGTGTATTAGCAAATTTTCTGGGAAAAATACCCAGTTGCCCGGCACTGAATGGCAGACAGAAAACGTTAGAGACAAGCTAGTGAACAAAGCATTTAACAGCTAGAGACACAGATATTTCCCTCAGGGGTTGGTGGAAACAGAGCTAAAAGCAGAGACAGTACTGAAATTAAATAAATAAGATGACCAGAAACACAACATCAAATAAATCATCTAAAATAGGCTTATAAAGTGATAACATTTCAGTGCTGTGTTTGTAGTTTATTTATTATATTTGTGAAAGCTGATAATGAAAGGTAGGTAATGCTGAGAATGCCAATAAACATGTTTAAAGCCAGAGAGTTCACCAACTTTTATATCAGTCTCCCTGTGAATACACTGCAAGCCTGACAGCTGTAAGACCTTTATACAATATATTGTACAACAGTGCCAACAGGATGTTTTCATCAGCATTCCTAGAGCAGAAAACTATTCAAACAAAAGACAATATGCTGCCATTTTGTTCTCCACATCCATTTATCAAATAGAATCTCTGAACTTTTAATAGGCTCCACAGGGATGTCTGAATTGAGGGGAACATTTGTCTCCATAACGGCCCTGTGCCTGGCTCAAAGGCTGGTAAGGGCCTTATCGGTCTCCCATCAGTCTGTCTCTCAATGATAAGGATAATCGGGGTAGAACTCAGCGGGAATGCCACAAATGTCAAACAGTACATACCGAGGATCAGCGCAGCACTTGTACACAATGGTGCATTGTGCTGAACTGGCTCTCCGTCATCGGAGGGAAATGCACCTTAGAGAGAAAAATCTGTGCTTTCCTGTTACGAGACACTATATATAAAAAACCCTTCAATATAGTCCCACAGAGTTGTTATTTAGGCTTCTACCAAAACATAACTCTTTCTATGGTGTAAAAAAAGAGTTTAACATTCTGGGAAAGCCACTCTCTTTCTGGGAGATGAGAATCTTGATATTACTCTCATGTCTGTATTAAACGTGGAACTGTAGCTGGGAAATGAATAGCCAGCTTAGCATAAAGACTGGAAACAGAGGGTAACAACTAGCCTTGCCTGGCTTTCTCAAACACTGAAAACTTTACATACGGGCAAACAAGTGGAAAACATTTTCAAAACAGGTTGGTTATTTCGAGTTGGAAATATAAAAATTTTATTGTTCCTCCAAATATGTAACACAGCTAGTTTAGGCTATTCAAATGATGTGACAAGCAGCATTTCCCACAATGTCAAACTATTTTTAAGATTATTTAAGTGAAATCAGTTTGAAATGTACTTGAACTTGAATGGTCAAAGTTTCTATTTCCTGACACTACACTACCACAGAGACCAGACGTTAGTTAGTT